GTAATTGTTTCCTAAATATATATGTAGTGTGATTAAATCTTACTAATTTTGCTTGATAATTCTAAAATAATATTGCAATATTTTAAAAATTAGGTTTACTAAAAAATAATTCAATTTCAATAGCAAAATATTATATCATAAATTATGTATATAAATTTGTTTTATCAATCTATCAATTTATTTAAGGGACAATTGCAAAAATGTCACTTTTGATGTGTACATTTGTAAAAATGCCATTTAGGGATGTCTGTTCGCAAAAATACCACTAATTATGGATTTTTAAAACCTAAACCTTAAATGTTTTGACCCCTAAAACTCTCAAAACTAAACTCTAATACAACATAGTTAACCCAAAAATAAATGATATAATGAAATTTATTTTTTCAAAAAGTGGTATTTTAATAAAGATTTTTAAAATGTGGCATTTTTGAAAAGTGACATTTTTTTGAAATTTATCTTTATTTAATTAATTACTTTTTCAAAATTCAGCAGATTCAGCAAATTCTGCAAATTCCACAGCTACCATTTAAGTTTGATATTATTCAGCAAATTCTGCAAAAAATCACTAAAAATTCAGCAAATTCAGCAACTCAACAGTAATTCAGCAGAAATTCAGCGGTTACCATTTACACTCTAGTTGTATTCTTTTGGTCATTTTTAAAAATTTTTAAGTGGTTGTACCAATTAAATTGTAAAAGTATGAAGAAAGAAGATCGAATCAAAGCCGAATTCTTTAGGGGATTTACAAAGGTAAATATTCTCAAAAGTAAATCATCGTGTAATGACTTCTACTTTTGCTCATTATTCGTGTCTTTCTTCCACTTATCAGTCTCCATTTCACATTTTCTATGGAGGTACAAATACGTTGGCAGCTATCTATCCCGAACATTTTTTGTTGTCATTTCAGACGACTCTGCTGCATGCACCAAGAAAGATACCATTTCATCAGTCCAATTAACAACCGGCTTCTTAACGTATATGGTGAAACTTGTTTTTTGGCAGCAGATGGCAGAGCTAACTCTTGAGCTTGTTACGGGCCATCAGATTGCTGATTTCTGACTTAACCTCCCTTACCTCTTTGGTCATCCGATCAATGCTATCCAAACACACATAAGCATCGAGAACTGCATCTTCACCAACTACGTTATCTCCTTCCCTTGCTACCATTTTTTTACCTGGTTCTGTGACATGATTCTTTTTATTGTCTTTTACATTTTTTCAAAACTTATTATAAAATAATGATTAATCAATGAAATTTAACTATATGCGTTCATGATAAATAGTTTACCAACAATGATTCTACAGCACAGTTTTTTTCCACAACATACAAACTTACAATGGACTTACTAGATGATTTTATCTGTATCACATTGTATCACATTTACTCTGGTAAGTTTTTCACTAAAATCACAACAGACAATTCTCTAAACAACATTTTGAAATCTTCGAAAAAAATTCATATCCATTAATTTGTTTAAGGTGCATTTTCTAACAATCAAATCTCATATTAGTTGTATAAACTTTTAAACACTATACGAGACGAAAAGAATTCCCTAATTACCAATTATTTATATTAGTTTTGTTATTAAATAACATTTTGAATTTAGATGTTTTTAAAAAAGTTAGTGTGCCTTTAACCTTTGAGAGTAAAGCACAAATTATTTTTGACTTTTAACCATTTTTGTTTTGTTTAGCGGGCCATATTCCTCATGCGGATTTTATGTTATTGACCACATTATTATAACAGAAGATTCTATGTCCCAAAGCACATTTACAACAAAATGCAGACTCTAAGACTTTA